GGCGAATAATATTAGCTTGTACGCAAGGAGGACCAAATCAACTTTGAAAATCAAAGAGGATTATTTTACATCAAAATTTCAAATTATTCACAGAGGAGGCACTCGTTACATCATTTGATATTTTCATTCCATTACTATAAGGCCCATTCACTTGCTATTTATCCCTTAGATCTATATCTGCTGATTACAAGCATTATGCATTAATACAAACTTAAAGAAAAAGATAAAAAGAAAATGCAAGCAAATGCAAAGGAAAGCGGATCGAACTCAACAACGAAGAGATCAGGAAAAGAAACTCAAAACTGATCAAAGCAGCTGAAAATTTCACAGATTCGGCGAACAGGAAAGGAGATAAAACCGTGCTTCTACAGAAATCACCACGAAAATGTGGCAAAATTGATGAAACTGTTGAAATCTTAAAACGAAACGAACTTTTTGTTTGAATTTGATTTAGCTTAATTCATTTGAGGTATACCTTCTTCCGGAGTCCGGAAGTACCAAAGTTATAAGCTAGACATGTTTGTAAAAAATAAAGGGGTCCTAGATTTGTTTATAATATGGATCACCTCAATGCAATACCCGGTATGATACTTCTCAAAAGAGGGGATACACGTGGTATTAGCGCACCGGTCATCATATCCATATCTACCCTTCCCGCCCCGTTAAGGTATTAAAGCACGGATTGGTCTCGATTTCTATTGCATGCTATTACCCGTCCCATTCCTATCAGTCCCGGAGGAATTTAGGTCTACTATTCCTATAAGAGGGAGGGTTTTAGGCTAACTCTTAGGTTTAAAGGTAAAAAGGCTAAGGCGACATATAAAAACACATAGGACTGCATTTTTTAGGGGAACATGTAAGCAGTTAAAAGACTCATGTATACCTCCGCAAACAATTCATATAAATAGCATGACTTAAAACATAGTTAATGTCTGAATCATAAAATCCTAAGGCAGAGTTTGAGTCAGAACCAGATTCATTATATAACTCAGAAAAAGAAGTCTGAATCAGGCCTGCCTGCTGGTTGTAGCAGTTGGTAATTAACAAAGGCGGTTCCAATTTTATTTAAATAGTTACCTAGGGCTTGCCTAGGCATAGTAGTGATGTCCTATGAGCATGATATCTATTACAGATTTTAATTCCTACAGACATGGTATCGAAGTATTAAAGGCTGATTTCAGTCCTATAGGCATGGTATCTAATTGAATATGAAGTGGAGTAGGCAGGATTTATTTGATCAAAGCGAAGTTCCTATAGGCATGGTTTCTATTAAAAGGCCATTTAGACATAGCAGAATTATGTGAAGCATGCAAAAGTTTATTAAACCAAAGCAGATCCTATGTGCATGTTTTCTAATAGACCATATCGAAATACACCCTATAAACATGTTATCTACCCTTCTAATAGCTGAAGCATGCAAAATCACCCCATCCCTTTTCACTAGCCAGCCCCAATATTGTTTACAAATTATTACAGCCCAAATGATTGAATTACAAAAGAAGTACATAAATAAGAAAATTACAACCAAAGGAAAGCCTGATCTTGACTTCCTCTCTAAGTTATGTGATGAACCACTTCGGTGCCAGAATTTCAAAGCCTTTCTCATACCTGGGTGTGTCAAAGTTCCCTAAGGACCTCATGAGATCCCGGGCAGTGCTTACACCCAGGTATGCATAACCAGATAGAAATGAGTGCAGTGTGGAAGGGCCAGCCCTTATGTGTCCAAGTTCAGAGGGAGTTCAAGGGTCCCAAGGTAAGGCTCACACAAGAGGGGTAGAACCTAGGTTCTAGGAGTAGAGTGGAAGTGCAGAACATAGTTGAAAAAGAGTTTGTTTAAAACTGAACTGGCAAGTCTATTTTTGAAAGTAATCAGTAGCAAAAATGTTTGAAATCAGTTGGGGTGATGAACAAACTCATACACACAGAATCGGTAATCACACCAAGGGGTCAAGGGGTTTTGGGAATACATTGTATGAAGCATATGACCCCAGTAGGGGTCAAGTTTGGTCATGCACATCAATAGCTGATGCTGGCATGCCCACAAACCAGCCAGAGAACACAAACACATAGAGGGGATATGAGGTTTGGGATTCATGAGTCAACAAACACAAAACAAATGACTAACAGAGTACACACATAAGGAGACATTAATTTAAAAGGGGAAGAGAATATATTACAACATGCTAATAATGTAACTTGACCGCAGAAAACATAAGCAGAAGTAGACAAGAATGAGAGAACTTGGAACAATTAGAGAAACATGTGGTTGTTGAGGCTTAAAAAATTAACTAGGACATACCAGTATAGAAGCAAAGTGCAGAAAGGAAAGGTAAGCAAGATTCCACAGTCTAGCATTGGCTTTTAGCCAGCTAGACAGAGCAGCAGAAGAAGTAGCAATAAAGAAAGAGAGAGTTTTTGAGTGTAAGTGTGTGTTCTGAACTCAAATTGTTCGTGTGTTTAAAGAAAAAGAGTAGGGTATTTATAGTTTTTGAAAACGAGCGAAGAATAAGGTAATAAGTAAAGTCTTAATACAAACATGAAAATAATCATAATCAGAATCAATTAACACAAGTAATTCCCTTTAATTAAGGAATCACTGCTTAACGGATACTGGCAGGTTTAATTAAGAAAAGAAATCATTTTGGGACAGATTGATTATTGCCATATAAGGGGGCAGTAAAAGCATGAAGCAAATAATCAAGTCTAAGTACAAAAATATGCTTAGTTTTGGGAGAGGATTCAGCAAGATCAAATATCACGGTAAAGGAAATAAATCAATTAATTTTAAACCAGTGAGTAAAAAAATTAGGGTTTATAGGGGAACCCTTTGCAATCAGTCGTAAGATTGAGGGAGTCAGAATCAATCAAGAAGGGGTCATGATTCTGCACCTCAACATATAAATAGCAAGGAATGAACAGGCATGCAGGGTCAAACATGTTGACAAAAAGAAGCACCACAAACATACAGTAGCAGTAGGGGTAAGCTAGGATTCAGCAGTAGGAAAAATATTCGAAGCACAGTAGTCAAGTAGGTCAAGTAGTCACATAGAATCAACAGTGAAGAAGAACATAGTAATAGGTAAGAGAGTCAGTAGAAAGTAAAGGTCTCACAATAACAAGTGAGGAAAACTCTTTTAATAAATTAGGGCTTCGACAGTAGTTGAGTTTAAGAGATGATATGAACTCAAATCAGATAAGTCAAACAAGGAGAAGAGAGTCAGAAACAAAGAACTTAATCGAACAAGTACACATTTAAACAAACAGGCTCAAAACTCGGATGAGATCAAAAAGGGACTAGGGTTTTCAACATGCTGAATCAAGTAGAAGGAAGGCATAACAAGTTGTTTGAACATAGTAAAATCATGAAATAACCCCAAAAAAATCAGAGAAGAGATCTTTAAAAAGAGGTTAAGAGAAAAACCCTAATCGTTGAAAAATGAAGAGTCATTTTGAAAGAAAAATTGAAGAACCTTCGAGAAAACACTTAAGAAGTTCATAGTAAGCACAGATCTAAGATAGATCTGAAAGAATATAAAAAGATCTTAAAGCTAGGGTTTCAGAGAACCCATAAAAGGTGAGAGAAGCCTTGAAACGTTACTGATCTAACAAGAAAAGTCAAGGATCTGACTCGAACGGCCATGGCTGGCCGAAGAAAGAGCGGAGACAGAGGTTCAGCAAGGACTGGACCAGATCTCTCATGGAAACAAACACTCAGGAGCCATAGAAGGCCGATACACATCTTAAATGGCCATGAGAAGCCATGGATTAGGCAGGGGTTGAGGTGGATTATAGTGGAATTAGATGGCAACGGCTAGGGTTCATGTGAGGTTGCAGAGAGAATTGAGAGGGCAGGGATTCGGAGGCGGCGGTTGGTGAAAAGTTAATTAGGGTAATGGGTCGTTTAGGTTTATTTTAGGAAGGGTGAATGTTGGCCGTTGATTTGAATGATCAACGACCTGGATTAAAGAGGGTAGGTAGGGGATCCGGGTTGGGCTGGTTAAATTGGGTTAGGGGTCGGGTTAAAAATTGAAATTGGGCCGGGGAAATTGGGTCTGATTTAGGGTTGATTTTAGGCTAAAAATTAAATACAATTGGGCTATTATTTAAATAGCCAATTTTCCCCTTTTTAAATTATAAAAATAGTAAATAAATTTCTGAGAATTTAATAAATTGAAAGCACTAAAATGATTTATAATATAAAATTAACAATTTAAAAATATAGGATCCCATTTTATAAACATGAGACAAATTTAAACCTAAAAAATGGCTAATATTACAATTGTGTGCAATTAGCTTTAAAAAAATACTAAATAAAATTGTAAAAATATGTAATAATTACCTTAGCCATATTTTGGCATAAATATAAGAATCCAATAAATGAATCATCAAAAAATAATAATTTTAAAAATAATTATTGGGATTTTATGGATGAAAAAGAGGAATAAATTGATTTAAAAACCTTTTAAAATTATGAAAAAATAATAAAACCTTTGTACATGCTTATGTATGCATTTATATA